CTGCGTGGTCAAGTCGTCCTCGTTGGAGCCGCCCCCCACCTCCATGGCCACTGAAGGCCGGATGGGCACGGGAGGCACCAGAAGGTTGTGGAGCAGCAGGTCCTCGGGCCGGCCGTGCTTGGGGTCCAGCCAAAGGACGACCGCGTCCTCGTCCGTGATCTTCTGGAAGAGCTGGTACACACGGAGGGGGCTCATGTCCTCCTGGGCCTTGTCCAGGTGGTTCGCGATCTCCCGGTTGTGGGCGAGGGCCGTCTTCATGGCCCGAGCCAGCGCCTGGTGCTCCACCCCTCCGTTCCGCCCACTGTACCTCTCGTGCACGAGCTTGAGGGTGGCGGCGCCCGCGATCTTCTTGATCTTCCCGTTCACTGCCTTGCACTCGAAGCAGTACGAGGCCTTCTTGCACTTTTCTACCACCCTTTTAAAGATGCCGGCTTTGCGGAGGGCATCCGCGCTGGGCCACCGCATTTGTCGCAAGAAAGAGCGGCGCTCCGCCTCGGGTAGGAGGACGCGCCCGCAGGTCTTGCATATGCAGGCGAGCAGCGTCTGGCAGTGCTTGAAGAAACCTATGTGGAAGACGGGCAGGGCTAACTTAACGTGGCCGAAATGGCCCGCGCAATCGGTCAACTTGCGCTTGCAGGTGGCGCACGAAGAGGTCTTGTCCGAAACGCCGAGGCGGGGGTCGAGGGGGCTATTGGGGGCGGGTGCACGGTGTGGCATGGTAAAGAGGTCTGAGCGGTACACCTGAAATTCCGAAATGCGCTCAATTTGATTCGCAGATAGCAACCCAAATTGGATGTGGCTTATCTTTTTTGGGGCAATTTCTCCCCGCACTGGCTCCTTCATGGCGCTGAGAAGGAGAGGGAGTCAGGCCGCTCTGTCAAGGAGAGGAGGAGGGATGAATTGTGAAATACACAGAAGCGACACGATGAAAATTCACCCTTCACACGAAGGTGGATAGGATCAAGAAGGGAAAGAAGTCAAAGTCATGGATCCAGGGATAAGCCGCGGTGAGCGCGTCTGACACGTACAGAGAGGAGCGTGAATCGGACTTAGGACTTATCATGCATCATTCGGAAAAACGAAAATCAACACCGGGAGTTTGAAATAAAAGATTTCAAATGATAGGTGAAATACAATAGTGTCGGCTAAAGTGAGATTTCATACGGACAAATGGTCGAGCAAGCCTGTTCTCATGCATTCCAAAAGAGTGGGGAGGCTAAACAAAGCTACGCTTAGGCACATAATCCATTACGATTTGGGGGAGATAGTGAGACATGAAAAGATGAAATATCGGAATAGATAGACGTCTTCGAAAAAACACGTCAGAGGAGCGAAGTTCCGATTTTTCTGGTTGCTAAGACAAAAAGGGCCCTGGACGCGGGGCGTATGAGTGTGGGTGGAGGCGATCGCGGCACCGAGATAGAACACGCAGGACTGTATCCCGTTCATAGATGTCCATCGGATCGGCGCGTCCGGGAGGGGGGAAGAAACCGTGCGGTGAATCGTGTCGAGAAGAAGCTAGAACGGCACCTTTCCAGCTTTCGGGAGGACCGTGCCCCTCTTGGCGTGGATTTGTGACTTTAGGACTTTGCCCGGGACGTGGGAGAGATGAGAGTACACGGAGCTTCTTCAAGCTATACCTCTGAGAAGCAATCAGCCCTGTAACGTAAGGCACGTTCAGCCGTCTCACTTCCCCATCTCCGTAATAATGCATCTGACAGGAGACATTTCTTTCGGGAGACTTGAGCCTGAGATCTTTTCCATCAGGCTTTCGGCTTTGAGACGCCATCGTCCGCGTTGAAGGAGGGAGCATACAGCCTGAGGGAGGCGCCGTCTGTTCTGCCCTAACTGAGGAGAGCTCTGTGCAACGCGAAGGCTATAAAAGACACTTTGCGGCAACCAAAAATCAAGCTTCATAAAGAGAAGGGGGATCGGTACCTTTTATAAAACATGGCATCTCGCGTCCCAGCATCATGTTGTCGAAGGGGGCCGTACAAAGACAACAGGGCCCTGACGGAGGTAGCTGCTCCACCTTGTATTGTGCGTGTCTCTCCCAATGGTGCGGAGGGCTTGACACGGCCCCTGGACCTTGCGTATTGGCTTGGACTACAGGATTCATACAGCACGAAATTGCCTATCTCTCTCAAGTCGGTGGTGGCGCTTATTCGGTCATTGGAGGGCCGAGACAAAGTCACCAAGGTAGGGAGGGGTAATCTCTGGGAGGTGGACCGTCCATGAAGGATTTCGTTATCACGTATCTGCGAGGTCAAGAAAGGGAGAGAAGCGTGAAGCCTTTCTTCAAAGCGATCTTCGTGATGGTCGCTGAGTTCCTTACCCCCTCGCACTGCACAGACCATCCAGTACGCCTGCCGCTTCCTGTGGTGGTATCACAAGACATACGCCCCCCAGGACAAGATCCGCGGTCCACGCTTTGAGAAAATGTTCCGGGCTTCCCAAATGGCGCGAAAATGCTTCCACCTCTTCCGGACCCTGGAGGAGCTGGAGAAGCTGCAGGCTCTGTGCGCCGACTCCAAGTCCCCGCTTTGGCGCCGAAACCTCTTGATGGTGCGGGCGGCGGCCATGGCCATTTATTGGTACTATGACAACACCTGCTTCCTCATCAACGCCAAGCTCTCCAGCTTCGACCAGCGGACGGCTGTGGCCCGAGACGGCGCGGCATGGACCCTAGCCAACCTGATCTCGATCGGACTGGCGCTCTACGACCTAGATCGCAACGGGAAGGAGCGAAGTCGCCTCGAGGATAAGGCGGCAGCGCTATTGAAGGCGCGTTCCAGCAACCATGTAGTAGGCGGGGCGGCGGAGGAAAGGGCGATGGGGAGGGACGGAAAGGTGGAGGCGAATGGGCATGGGCACAGCGACGCCCACGGTAGGAAGGAAATGGAAAATGGAACGCTCACAGCCAGCAGCAGCAGTAGTAGTAGCAGCAGCAGCCAGCCGCAGGGGGGAGACACGGTGGCGGAGGCAGACGTGGAAGAGTCATTGGAGGAGATGGCGCAGGCGAGCGTGAAGCGCTTCGACCTGGTCGGGGACCTCATTCGGGTCTCGTGCGACTTCCTGGTGGCCTGCAACACCCCGGGCTTCGACTTGCCTCTGCACACGCTCGGGTTCCGGCTGCACGACGGCATCATCGGCACGGCGGGGCTGGTCTCGGCGCTCTTCGCGGTGTACAAGGCCTATCCCGCGGATATGGGCCGCTTGCGGAAGCGCCGACTCATGCGCCTGCTGCCGACAGGGCCTTGAGAAGGAGAGGGATGGAGAGGAAAGGCTGGAGTGTGTCTCAGGTGGGCGTGTCGTAACCCTGGAGAGTCTTTGCTTCTCTGGACGCCTGCGGGTGTAATTGGCACGGGTGGATGAACTTGCCCGTCCGGGGACAAGCGCTGGCGGGCGTGAGACTGACAATTTCCACACTGAGCAATGCTTGTGGAGGCAGAGCGGAGTTTTGGCTGAAATAGCTGGCATGTTTATAAATGATTCCGATATTCACCGACAGCCTGTTGGAAACATGAAAGCCACGTCTCTCTTTGTGAAGATATGCAACAAATTCTGCTTCGACTTGACGTAACAATTCTGCCTTTTTGCGTTGTCGAAATGACCGACAAGCATTTAACTCGAAATAAACTTGGGAGGCACGAACAATTGAAAGAGTAGCTTCGCTTTTTTTGAAAAGTTGCCATCCATTTTCATTTTTATCTATCGATCGCATGTGTTCTTGTCCTCTATCCCGTTTTGGATCTCTAAAGTCCCCCGCAGCCTCCTCACGGTCTCCAGGCCTCGCCCCAGGAGTTCGTATTCACTCTCTAAGATCAAGCGCACGACCTCTGCCTCTTCATCACCGTCCTCCCTTCCGGGCGCCAACATGCGGATTGCCGCGTGATTCCCTTCCTCCTCCCCGGGCTCGAGTGGTCTTTTTCCCTCCATCGCCACCTTTCCAAGCGCTTGCTTGGTCTCCACCAGGCCCATCCGCTTCCTTCCTCCTCTCATGTCCAATTGCCCTCGCATCGCTGTCAACGCCATGTGCAGTGCGTTCAGCGCCTCCTTCTCATTGCAAGAGCTCAAGGGTCCCTTTAAAGCACTCTCCAGGCACTTCAAGTCGGCCGAGTCTCGGGCTCGCTGGATGCGGACGGCGGCGAGGAGGCTGGGAGAGACCACGGGGGCCTTTTTGGTCAGGAGGAAAGGCGGGCATAGACCCAGGCGCGCCATGGCTTCCTGCTTGATAGCATAGTGTGGAGCTTCCGGTTCCATCGTCACCCAAACGTCGAGGGAGTCGTAAGGATTGTCAGGCAAGGCGAAACCGTAGAGCTGCAGGAGTCGTAAGTTCCCGAGGGGACCGTAATTCAAGAAAATTTCATCGCCCGCAACCAATGCCTGCTGCGCTAGGATGACCAATGCGCCCGCTTCATCGCTCGCTCGACATTTTCCACGAGCATTCTGACCATCTGGCCTGTCCTTGACGAAGCCGTGGGTTACCATAGGCGGGTCCTGGCAGGAATGATTGAAGAGGTCGAAATAAGGGGCCATAGCCTTGCGCAACTCCGTCCCTCGTCCTGTCGGCACGCTTATAAAACGACTATGGATTTGCGTCAATGCCCACTCGTAATTTTCCACACTCCACCAATCGTACTTGCTTAATGGCGTGCCTGCGATTTGGATTGGGGAGGCGCTCAATTCAGTGAAGTCGGACAGGACTTGCTGCTGCAGCTGACGAACGATCGCAAACAAAGAAGAGCCTTGTAGCTGGCTTACTGCATCATTCGACAGATTAATTGCATTGTGTATTCGTTTTCTCGGTAAAATCGTGATGTGCGCCGCCCATTTGGAGGGGTCGTCGGCAGAACGAGCAAAACGCTCGTGAAGCAGAGCGATTGCCAGAACATCATCTTCCCGCAATGTTACGGCATCGGCAACAATACTGCGTAGTCCGTAAATATTGTCTTCGATCAAAGTATCGAGACAAAAAAGAGATGAACACGGCACTTTCACCAACACAGTTCCAGAGGCTATGTTATCCTTGACAAAAATGCCCCGATCTCTGTTCGCCCGCTGCTTGATCTCGAGAGACGGATGAATCGAGATGTTTAGGGGCATTTCTTGCAGTTCTTGGACGTATGGTACGGCATTAAATGTACAAGATGCCATAGTCTGATAAAATCATTTGTAAAAGAGAAAATGGTTATGTTAGATCGCGGGCCGAATGGAAGCCAGGAGGTTGTCCGACTCCGTCTGAACCCCTCCCCTCGCTCTCTTTCGTCCCACAAAGTGCCCGCTACCACCCTAGTTTAGGAGAAATCTGACGATAAATCTGAAAACGACTACGTCTGGTCTTTTTGTGCGCCCCGTGTGGTAAAATATTGAGAAAATTGGAGTCCCCAAAAGCTGGCGGATGCAACAGGTCCTGTGGGGGGACCTGGGTGGGAGCGAGCCCTCGCTGCATAAAAGTCTTCCTCGTTCTTTGAATGCCAGGCCTCGCCATTCGTCGCCTTCGGGCGCTCCCAAGGCGGAACACGCCGAAGACGCGCAAACTGTTAAGGGGCGCTCAGCTGCCAAAGGTGGTGGGAGTATTTATGACTGTCAGAGTACTTACGTTTCCACGAAGAAACAGGGGTTCCTCACTTTGTCCGCCTTGACCCCACCCGTGACAGGCTGAATGATTCGGAAGCGCCACGCGGCTGTCGGCCCAGCCGCCGCCCTTTTGCGGACTTCCTCAGGAGCCATACCGGCTACACCTTTCTCTTTCTTCGTTCCTTCGTGTGAAAGTCGTCCTTCATGCACGTGGACCGCGAGGGGGATGCCCTCCCGACCTCTTCATGTCAGGCAAGCCAAAGACTCAGCTTCCGTCGACAGAGCCTTGGTGGCCGCGGCCCTGGCAAGTGTAGCGGCTGCCTCCTTTATCGCGCAGCCATGGACAAAAAGTGACATGGAAGCGGTCCAGGGGCCTGGAGGATCAGGAGGCAGCGATGACAATAGCAAAGTGAAAGATAAACTGCTGCCAATGTCAGAAGTGATGTCTCAAATACAAGACCGACTCAAGCAATTTCGCACGGAGCGGTTCCTTGCGCCTTCGCACCGAGGCCCCGGCCGCAGTGGTGGCGAGGGCTCTAGGCGCACCAGAGACCCCCTACAGGCCGCCACAAGCTTCCCCAAGATCGCGGTGCTGACGAAAGGCAGGAGTGCAGAAGAACCCTTCACGATCGAGGTGCCCCTGCCGGCGCGAGGCGGTAGCGAAGCCCGGGTCCTGGCCGCGTCCTTGCAGGCGCTTCAGAAGAAGGGCCACACCATCACCTTCCACACGGGCCTCGCCAGCGACCAGGGCACCAGCCTGTCCTTCGTTCTGGCCGATCAGTCCGGCTCCCTCCTCCTCACGTCTTCGCCCGCTGCGTCCGTGCCCTCTGAGGCCCCGCAAGCTGTCCTGCCCGCCCGCCCAGGCACGTCCAGACTCCTGCTCTTCAAGAAGGAGGGCTTCACCGAGGGGGACGTGGACGCCGTGGTCGAATCCTACATCTCGGCCTGGAGCGGCAACGCCGGGGACCCGATTGCCGGGAACTTCGCCAGCATTTTGGATGCCTTCCGCGCCGGTGGCACTGCCGGCGTCCAGCAGTTCTTGGACTCGGAGCAGGACACACCTCTCCCCTTCTTTCCCCCGTCCACGCGCGGCGCCTTGGACCGGCCAGGGGTCGTGATGGGGGGTAACCAGGAGACTGATACGGCCGGGAGAAACGATCCGGTCGCTCGGCTGCGCAAGCTTGGGGCGGAGGTGTTCGAGAAGGGCAAGGGGGAGGAGGTGGACTGGAGCTGCCTGGCCGGCTACGAGGGCGTGAAGGCGGAGGTGGAGGACACGGTCGTGATGGCCTTGCAGCACGCGGAGGCGTACGAGGCCATCGCCCGGCAGACGCGGGAGCGATACGAGTCCAACCGACCCAGGGCCGTCCTCTTCGAGGGCCCCCCGGGCACGGGAAAGACGCTGACAGCCCGCATCGTCGCCTCGCGCACCGAGGTCCCTCTGGTCTTTGTCCCCACCGAGCGCGTGCTCAGTAAGTGGTACGGGGACTCGGAGAAGAATCTGGCCAAGATTTTTGAGGCCTGCCAGGAACTGGGCGGCGCGATCATTTTTATCGACGAGGTGGACGCGCTGGCCACAAGCCGAGACTCGAACATGCATGAGGCGACCCGCCGGCTCCTCTCCGTCATCCTCCAGAGCATCGAGGGCTTCAAGGGCGGCAGCCAAAACGTTCTGATCTGCGCCACCAATCGCAGACAGGACCTGGACTCCGCCTTGCTCTCTCGCTTCGACGTGTCCATAAAGTTCGAGCTGCCAGCGCTCGGGGCACGTCAGGCGATCTTCGCACGGTACGCCAAGCACCTGAAAGCCGAGGAGCTGGCCCGCTTGGCTGAGGCCTCGGAAGGCTTTTCTTGCCGGGATATTAAGGAGACTTGTGAGAACGTGGAGCGCAAGTGGGCGTCCAAGACCCTCCGTGGCCAGGAACGGGGGCCAACGCCCGTTTTGCAAGAGTACCTGCAGCAGCTGAAGGCGATGCACCTGGCTCACCGCCGGTCTCCTCAGTCCCACAATTTGTGAAGAATGTGATAAAAATAAAGGTCGATGGTCATTTCTCGGACGTCAGACAACCAAAACGTGAATAATGTGTAAAAAAAAGGAAATAATACTAGCATGTCCTTTCAGCAGTTCCTTTTTTTATTGAAGGGTGCGACGTGGGCGATTCGTGGTTCTTTCTCATATACGTAGATGTACGAGGCCAGGTAAAACCTGATCCTTCCTTGTACATACTGAATTCGGAAGGAATAATAATTCACATATCTAATTAACCTCCCGTTCGCGTCTCTTTCTGGCCCCTTCTCACCTCTCGCGTGAGTCATGGATGTTGACGGCTGCCGTGAGATGCCATTCCTAGCAAGATCTCGCTACCATCTTTAAGCGCTCGACGCGAATCAGAAGGCATTTCAACGTAAGAACTTTTGCGCAGTAAAGCGCCCCACTCTCGGCGGCAAGTTCCCACGTGAGTGACAGTTGGCGAGTCGCTAATTTTGCCTCAGGTCTTCTTGCTTTGAAATGGTGTCTTCAAGGAGGAGGCCACGAGGCCTACCACAGGACGCGCGGCACGACATTGACCTCTCAAAGTCGAATTCGATTCATTAAATAGGGGACATGGAGGCGGTGAATGGACTTCTGGCCAAGTTAGCGTCAGACTCGGACTTCCAAGACGACTTGCGCCAGCCCCAGGTCCGCGTGGTAAGTCAATCATTCCGGGATTCGATATCATACGGCAGCAGTTCTGCCGCGCACTGGTGTGCCGGTAAAGCAGCATGGATTTGAAGTGTCGGAAGAGAATAGGCACATTCCTTGACGGACAGGCAACCTCCAGGCAACCAAGCCACGAGCTGTCTGGGGCTGTAGATGAAGGGGCACTTGTTGCTTTTTTGTGCGCTCAAACTTTCTCTATATTTTAAATTGCCATGTTCATATCATTTTTCAACTAAGATTTACTCGTTCACATTGACTTGCATGTCAGAATTACTGTGAACTTGGAAATTCCCTCAAATGGAATCGTCTCAGCTCCTCCACTTATTTGATTCATGTTGTGAAATCCTGCCAGGCATTGAAGCACTGGACGAACGAAAATCGCTTGCCGCCCTTGCAGGCCGAGAAGCTGATGAAAGACTACAGGGTCCTGGCTGTCCTGCAGAAGCTCAAGAGCCTACAGACCGCCTGCCAGCGAGCCGGCATGGCCGTGCCTCTGGACGCGGTCCTGCGTCAAGAGGGATCCTTGGGCTCGCTGCGATCCACAGGCGCGAGATCGCTTACATCTACCTCTTACTCAGCCTCAGTGCCCGAGGGAGAGCAGCCGGGGAAAGGGGCGAAGACAGTGTCGAGGCGGAGAGGGCGGGGCGCGGGAGAGTCTGCCGGCGCGTCTGCAGCGTCAAGTGTTGCTCCTGCGCGCCCGATAGTGCAGGTGCCCGAGACAGTGGCAGGGTGGGCCTATCTCTTGAGCCCCTTGGTAATGCTGGGACTGGGCCTCGCTTACTTCGTATACATGTGTCTGTACCCCTGAAGTAGACGTGGGAACTTAGCGAGCCATCCTTGTATGTGCAGAGCAGACTGAAGAACTAAGGCTGATCCCATCCCGCTGCCTGGACCCTTATCGTCTGGCATTGCTTTGCCTCTCGCCCTTTTTCTCCCTCTGGTCCCCGCCCGGCCCCTCACGAGCCACCCGCGTATCGCCGGTAGTACTCCAGCATCCGCGGCGTGATCTGCCGCTGCCAGCCAGCCAAGGCCTGCTCGAAGTGCCGGCCGCGGAGGAGGCGGGCGTGGACAGGATCCTCCTCCACTGCGCAGAGAGCGGCCTCCCGGCTCAGGGCCACCACTTCCGCGCCCGAGAAGCCCTCAGTGCGCCGCGCCAGCTCCTCCAAGTCCACTCCCGCCCCTTCCGACGCCTCCCCTTCCGGGCTCTCTGTGGGCACGCCCCGCAAGGCGATCTTCAGGATCTCCCGACGCGAGGCCAGATCCGGCGGCGGCACGTAGACTCTTCGGTCGATGCGGCCCGGGCGCAGGAGGGCGGGGTCGAGCAGGTCGGGGCGGTTGGTGGCCGCCACCACCACCACCCGGCGCAGGGGCTGCACCCCGTCGAGCTCCGTGAGCAGCTGGCTCAGCACCCGCTCCGAGGCCTTGCAGTCCTCCCCGTCCCCCCGGCGACCGGCCAGCGCGTCCACCTCGTCGAAGAAGACGACCGTGGGGGCCGCGGCCCGCGCCTTCTTGAACAGCCCCTGCAGGGCCTTCTCACTCTCCCCCAGCCACTTGCTGAGGAGCTCGGGTCCCTTGACGGCCAGAAAGTTCATGCCAGACTCGGTGGCCAAGGCTCTCGCCATGAGCGTCTTGCTGCAGCCCGGGGGGCCGTACAGAAGGACACCTTTGGGCGGGGCGATGCCCATGCGCACGAAGGCCTCGGGCCGGGTCAGGGGCCACTCCACGCACTCCCGTAGCGACTGCTTTACGCGATCCATACCCCCGATGTCCCCCCATTGCACCCGCGGCACCTCCACCGCCACTTCCCTCAAGGCGCTCGGCCGCACCAGCGCCAGGGCCGCCACCAAATCCTCGCCCGTCATGCGCACGGGGTCTCCGCCGTCCCTCCCCGCCCCCCCTCCCGCAGCCTCCATCCCTCGCCTGACAGCAAGCATGGCCGCCTCCTTGCAGACCAGCAGCAAATCTGCCCCGACAAAGCCGTGCGCTCGGCTTGCCACCCGCTGGAGCACCCTGTCCGCGGCCGCCTCGGATTCCAGGCCCGTCCCCGCGAGCAGGACCCTCAGGATCTCCCCGCGCGCCGCCTCCCCCGGCACGCCCACCTCGAGCTCCCTGTCCAGACGGCCCGGCCGCCTGAGCGCCGGGTCAAGGGCCTGGGGTCGGCTCGTCGCCGCCAGCACCACGACCCGGTCCAAGCCTTGGAAGCCGTCCAGGAGGGCGAGGAGGGTCGCGACCATGCGCCGGTCCAGGTCCGAGGAGGCCGCCTCGCGCCGGGGGCACAGCGCCTCCACCTCGTCCAGCACCATCACCGTCGGCGCCCGGGCCCTGGCCTCCCTGAAGGCGCGGCGAAGCCGGCTTTCCGTCTCCCCCACGAGCCGGCCCACAACCTCAGGCCCGGCCACGCGCATCACGTGGTAGCCCCGGCCCCGCCCGAAGTATTCGGCGGCGGCCCTGGAGTAGCGGGGAAACGAAGGAGAGGGAGTGAGTCTTCAGGTTCCGCACATGGAAGCCGAGCCCATCCTACCTGAGGAGAGTTGTCTTGCCCGTCCCGCTGGGCCCCACCAGCAGAAAGCCCCTCGCTGGCCGCAACCCGCGGTCGAGAAAGACGTGGAGGGAGTCCAAGCTCTGTTCTACGCCCTGACGAAGCTCTTCCACCACGGCCTCCAGCCCTCCCACTGAGGCCCACCAGCCTCCCTCCACAAGCCGTTCCCCCCACTTCGCCCCCGAGGGCTCACCTCTCCAACCAGTCGCCGTCTCCGCCTTTCCATGGGGGAAAAGGCCCGCGACCGCCACGCGCGTTCCAGGCAGCACCTCGCACACAGATTCCAGATCCAGGCCTACACGCGGCTCTTGCGGGGCCGTTACCTCCTTGAGCGTTAATGTCGCAAGGTCTGGCATGCTTTCAGCCCCACCGGCCATCTCCCCTCGCGCCGCCCGGACCTCGACTACCTCGAAGCTCACGCCCTGGCCCAAGGACGCGAACGCCAATCGCAGTCCCGGAAAGACCAGCTGACCCACGAGCACGCTATGAAGCCGCGCCTTCCAGAAGAGGACTGGGGCGACGCTGCTCTGGGAGGGGGTATCGCGCCTGCTCGTCTCCCGGGCCCCTCCTCCCGTTGATTCCCTTCCGTCTCCTTCTGGAACGACTCGCAGGACTACCTTCGATGCAGCGAGCCACTTGGCCATCGCAGGTAAGGCGCGGACCGAAACATTGACGTCTTCCCCTTGCCTTCGCTTGCCAAAAAACTGGCCCGACAGAAGCGGCCCCCCCCCCACGGCCGTCCCCTGCGGCACATTGCTACCCGGCCATGCCCGCAGCATCAGTCGCAAACCTCCGCTGTCACGCCGTGGACAATCCTCATTTTCCTGGTTCACCCTCGATTCCTTCTCTGGCTGCGACCCACTGATCAGGAGCCAGTCACCCGCCTTAACTCTGAGGCGTCGAGAGTCAAGAGAAGAGAGAACCAGCCGGTCTGGCAGGGCGGGTGTTGAAGCTGGGCCACGCCGAAGCACGATATCGTCCAGCTGTTCGGCCATGACTACATCTTGATATTGCTGCTGGTAACGTATTTGTTGTTTTTTGCTTCCAGAAGGCATAGGTTTCGTGAGACTGCTCTAAGGCACTGAAGTAAATGAGGGAGGAGGTTAACCTGTATTAGGGGCAATGTGTGTGAATTACGGACGGACCTTCGCAGGGTTGCAAAAGCTACAGCCGCATAATCATTACTTTGTGCTTGAAATGTGGGTGTCAATCCATGGTATCTATGAAAGCTCTTATTACCTTTGTTGGCGCGAGCGTGCTCTAGGACGACCTGTCCTGCCGCTCCCTGCTTGTCCTCTATTTAGCTGTTCAGGATGACAGATCTTCGCATATTGAATGCCTGTGCTTGTCCGCCTGTTATATGTGGTTGAATTGAGCTTATCCAGGAATTGAAGCAGCTTCTACAGTCTATGCCGAACTGCGCTTCCGCCTGGCTGAGATTCCCGACATGCCACTCCGTGCCCCTCGCGATGAGGGCGATAACCGCGGAGGGTAACACGTTCCTATCACACCATTTATGACTTCAATTTCTTGCTACAGCGTGAAGAAGGGGGACATACTCTTTGATAGCACGCTCGCATGAAGCTCGTGAGTCGAGATGTAAGCGGGAAGGATGGAGCGGGAACCGTCGTGCTGCGGCCTGAGGAGCCCGAGGACATGTGGGCCATCTACAACCTCATAAGTGAAGGAGACCTCGTTCGCACCACCACCTTCCGCAAAGTAGTCAAAGAAAGCGCCACAGGATCAACGACAAGCAATAAAATTCGCCTGAACCTGACCATTCAGGTGCAGCGGATGCAATTCGACCCAGACACCTGCGTTTTGCGTCTGAGTGGCCCTAATCGGGAAGAGTCCGAGCACGTGAAGGTGAGTAGGTCCTTGCCCTCTCTGGATCGAGCATCGTCTCACTCCGGCCTTTTTTGGCCAAACAGATGGGAGCCTATCACACCTTGGATCTAGAGCTACAACGGAATTTTACCATTCAAAAGACGTGCTGGGACACAGTGGTTCTGGACCGCCTGGACGATGCCTGCGACCCGGTCAAGCAAGCTGAGGTTGCGGCCATCGTCATGCAGTCAGGCTTGGCGAATATCTGCCTCCTGACAGGATCCATGACTCTCGTCAGGCAGCGAATAGATGTAAGTCCCTGTGTGCGAGGCTCTGACCCCTTGGCCGGTACCCAGCCCCTACATGCTTTGTACCAATGACTCGCCCCCCGGCTGCTTGGCCCGAAGGTGCATGCTTGTTCTATTTATATCCTGACACGCTTGCACAAAGTTCGGTAAGCCTGTGCTGGTCCGAACACCGGCAAGAGTGGATTCTCAGAAGCCTCCAAATCAGTCGCCTCTCCTTCCTTTCCTCGCATCGCAGATGCCAATTCCGAAAAAGCGGGCAGGGAATGTTGCTCACGATAAGGCCATCCAAAAATTTTACCGCGCCGTCTACGAGGCAGTAACGCGACACATCAATTTTAGTCTGGTCAAAGCCGTCCTGCTCGCCAGTCCCGGCTTCGTGAACTCGGACTTCTTCGCCTTTCTCAACAGCGAGGCGCAGCTCAAGGAGGATAAGTCCTTGCTGCAGAATAAATCCAAGTTTGTGCTCTGCCACTCCTCCTCGGGCCACAAGCACGCGCTGGAGGAGGTATTGACCCAACCCGGGATCCAGGCGCGTCTCGCGGACACGAAAGCCGTGGGCGAGGTGCAGGCGCTGGGGGACTTCTTCGCCATGCTCTCCGCGCAGCCAGACCGCGCGCACTACGGTTTCAACCACGTGCAGGTGGCGGCCGAACACGATGCCGTGGAGACGCTGCTGATGAGCGATTCAATCTTCCGGGGTCGCGACTTTTTGGCGCGACGTCGGTACGTGGACCTGGTGGAGGGCGTCAAGGCCAAGGGTGGTCGCTTTCTTTGCTTCTCCAGCCTGCACGTGACCGGCGAAAAGCTGCACCAGCTCGGGGGCGTGGCGGCAATTCTCCGCTTTCCGCTAGAGATTGAGATGGAGGAGGAGGACCTGCCCCTGGAGGAGGCGGGCGGGGCCGGGCTGGGGGCAGGCGGTGTAGGAGGCAACGGTGCCGCTACCAAAGTTGACCATGGTGCTGCGGCGGGACAAGAGAACTTGACGGGGTCAGAGGGCGGAGGAAAACCTGAGGAGGGGACCGAGGCCGAAGAGACGGCATGGGCGGGTGGGGATGTAGGGGTGAGCGACGCCGAAGGCATGGGGTTGTGACAGTAGCCGGGCCAAGGAAGAAAATTGAGCCCAGTCAAATTCCATTTATTGTGAGTAGCCAAGAATAGATTTCCCTTCCCATAGGAAGTAACTGCACAAAGCAAGTAAGCAACGAGTTCATCTCTCTTCTTTTTGAACGCTTACTGATTAGTTCACAAGCAAGCCCTCCTCAATTGAAACAATACTTTGAGCCGGCCTAATACTGCACCTACTCCTTCTCTTTCAAAGCCTCAAGAGGCACAGGACCTTGCAGCGCCCGTTGGCGGGCGAGTTCGTCTTGTCTCTCCTCCTCCTCCAGGCGCGCATTGTCCTCCTCCTTCTCCTCATTGTAGCGTTTCACCGCCACCACAAAGGAAGCTACGAAGCCAGGACCTGCTGTTGCTATGACGGCTATCGTGGCAGTCTGTCCCAGAAGTGGCTTACCCCCAGCCAGCTCTGTCAAGGAGCCCGTAAAGCTGATGCCTAGCAGCATGGACATGACCAGGAAGCCGTAAGCAGGAAAGCGAAATGGCCTGTCGGGCTCCGTGCGGACGGCTTTGGAACCTGCACTTGGCAATGGTAACCTGCTTACAGTTGATTTGATGGCTTCTTTTAGGCCGTTGCTTTGATTTGCTTTTTCCACCTCCTCGAAGAGACGGTCTAATTCTCGCTTCTCCGTTGCTGGACCGCTTTCACTTTCATCGGCCGACGCGTAGATGGGCGCAAAATTGCCACTCCTTACGCAATTCTTACGAAGTATATGTGTTGTGCATCTAAAAGGTAAATACCGACTGCGGCCGCTAGGAAGAAAAGCGCAAACGTTCTTCAGGTGCAAAAAGGCGAGGCCGAATAGGAGGGCAACTGTAGATGGAAGGAGTATCCTACGCGCCATGGAGATCTTGTACCCAGGCAAAATTTACCAGGCAATC